ACATGTCAAACATAGATGTCAACGAGAACTAATATTTGTGCGTTCGTCCTTACCTCGTCTTTCGGTCTGGCTTTGAAAAAGTCTCTCTCATAGACTCCTCGGTTGCTATAGATGGAGGGGTTTACAAGACCATAGGCGTCAGATTCGTCACCGTAATTTGTGCGATCAGAAACGCGTCGAAAGCGGGGTGCAGGTCTGTCGCTGCGAACAGTTGGTACACCATATGTTCGGAAACCTAAAGAAACAATAACAAGTTCAGTTCAGATAATAACTGGATATTCATCTGTGGATTGGTTGACAAGCATGAAATATAAAAAATCAAACCTAGAATCTGCCTCTTACCTTTTGCCGACACTGGGCCACCGACAGTCGCGTTGATCATTGAGGCTGATGTCCTGTGTTCACCGATAGCTCTATCAATTTGATTCTGCAGTGTTTCCACATTATTGTCATTTGTTGTTCCACCGAGCTCCTCCATTTTGTCTTTCCAGTTGAGAAAATTTGAAAACTGCGTGTAGTCCAGGTATCCATCTTTGTTTGCATTGCAGTAAAACAGTAGCTGTTCAAGAAGTTCAGGTTCAATGGGAAGGTTGAACTGTAAACAACATTCGCGTAGTTCATTGATGTCTATTTTACCATCACCGTTCTGAGAAAAAGGAAAACAAATCATCTATAATCTGCACCTCAACTAAAATCATTCTGTGGAGTTTTCCCCACTCCTAGACAGATGAAAAAGTACCAGGTGAAATTAATGTGCTCAACCAATTTAATTAATTATTAGTTAATTATTCATTAACCTGAGTTTCAAAATAAATAGCAGTTTGTGAACATAAAAACTATACCATATTCGCTATATTAGGAGTGAACACCCTTACATAGATGTATGGCTATATAGTTAAAATAAGTCCAGCATACGTTAAATGCAATTTTGGGTTCATGTGTACTTGATATTAGAAATGTACTTCTGTAGAGCAAATGCAGTAATACACAGTTTATTTTGATTTTTTTGTGAATTACTGGAATATATAATATTTTCACTAATATAGATAATTAATATGCATTTCTCGTACCCATATAATTTGTATCTTTGATCCTTTTCATTTCAAATTTGAAAATATACATTACACTCAACCATTCAACACAGTATGTACAATATTTAGCATATATTTTGAAATAGTAAATTCACTTTAATACCTTATCGTAATGTCGAAAAGCTGCTTGCAGATCGTTAAAATTATGGAAATTAGTTTTCTTCAGATGCTGTCTGATTGCGGCAATGACCCCCCGTTCTCTGTCCTTGCCACGCAAATATTCCCCAGGCACTCTCCCATGAAGTAGATCGCCTGCGCCAAAATCATCTGGTCGGATCATAACGCCATACGCATGGCCTGGTGGGACTCTCATGGTATCCTTAATGGGGTCGTGTACTTGACCTAACTGAGGCTGTGTACGCTCCCGGAAATCATCCACTCTCTTGGAAACTATTTTGGAGCCTTTTTCCCTAAAATAAAAACATGGCGAAACATTATTGATATACAAATAAAGTATTATGGAGGTCTAAACATTGAACTGTGTTTTATAAAATTGTATCTTGAAAATGCTTGCAAATATTCCATAAATAATTAAATCCAATGCAAAGGCATTAGAAGCGCCACAAATGTTGCTTTGTTATGGGTTCCATATAACAAACGTGTGTAAAATACATTGTTTACATGATATTTAAATTGCACGTCGTTGTGCAATGTCTGCTCAAATTCCACGAATGCAATGCACGTCATACATACATCACATGGGGCCTGTCATATCTAACATGGTGTGGTGCATCGACTGTAGTGCTTTAAATCAAATTTATGATAATGTTGATTGCTTAACTTGCAGGCAAGATGTGAATTGCATCATAAATAATAGTTTTCCATGTAGTATGGTATTCTAGGATGTGTCACAGAAGTTTTTTTGTGTCGCAATATATAGTTGTGCTCACTCCCAGGAAGTCCAATGTCACAACAGAAAATTATACATATCCCTACAGCCACATACAGTCTGGATTTTTTTCTTGAAGACCTCGATTCCTAGCAGAAAACAAGCTGATCCAACTTTTTTGAAACTCCATGCAACTCAAAATCCTAAGTCTCTGCATAAAAAAACATTGATTATCACTTACTGCTGTGCTTCATGCATCCATTTCAGTGTTTTCTTGACATGTCTTCCATCATTGTCGTGTGGGGTAGGTACACCAAACCTACTGTCTTTAGCATATCGTGACCAGTCATACTTTCTGTCTCTCTTCTCACCCACATCATAATCGTTGTGTGTTACGATGTACAGATCATGACCAGTTTGTCCCTCTGTCTCAACTATATCCCGACTTTTGTCTGGGTTGACCAGTACACCTGCACTGCCATCTGTTGGAAGAATTAGTTGTCTGAGTATTGAATTTCGAAAATAAATATAATGAACAAAAAATGCTGCATCTTTGTTATTAAATTAAAATAAAATACTATACCATTCAGTGAAAATTCATGCACCGCTGTTTTATATTGCTAATCTCAACGAAACAATAAAAGAAAACGTCAGATGTTGCAAGTTTTGCTCGGTCCTAGTGTTATTTCAAAAGAGTAACCTAAAAAAGTTCCCAAATGTAAAATGCTTTGCATTGAATATTAAATTTGCAATAAAGGTTCTCTTTGATTTCATTCATTGATCATCAAATCTTGTGTATGATTCAACGAATCCCCAGAGATGTACCGGTACATGTAAAGTTAAACTTTTCTTCACAATTGAGAGTCAACTTACCAAAGACGTTTTTAATTCCAAATCGTGTCTGTGCTGGGTCCATGTGTGCTGGAAATGATGGACTCTGGTCATGTGACCGCCCAAGTGGTGCACTCTGTTTACTGGCATAAAGGCTGTATTCTTTTTTATCAACCATGCGCTGTTCATACAGACTTTTAGGTCTCGGGTTGCAAAGATCACCAGCCTATGAAGGGAAAAACAAAATATACATATAAATCTAGCATTTTCAGTTCCTTGTGAGATATTACGTGATTTGGAAAATGAGCATGTCACAGGTCATATTCCACATTCCAAAATAGGTACATGTATCACAATAATGATGATATATTTACAAAACTGTTTCTTAGATTACTGGTAGGGTGTAGATGTGATGTTCTTTCAGCTATATAAATTCACTTACAGTGGGCGCAGACAAGATTCGTACTGGGGAGCTTAATAGAAAACTCTGTATAAACATTGCAATATAGCGAGGGACTTTCATATTGGCGTTATCAATTGATCTAATGTTACGAATTTCAAAAATGATTTGCTACATTTTTAGACAATCTCACTTCCCCTGATGCCAACTGATTTTGGACTAATTTTATCTTAGTACGTACTACGGCTATAAAGTAGTTGTCTGTTTTCATATTGCAACATTATTGTGACTATACAAAGGAAGATTAAATTATCTGGATGAATCTTGTTTGCGGTCGCTTCAATCGTCTGAGGAAGTTGGATGAGGTTATTGGAACACTGGTAAGAACTTTTCCAGGAAATTTGCAAATTAGATGTATGAATCTCTGTAAATCGTTTCTCAACTCAGAAACTTGTCAATATCCATAGAGGTCATGAAGAAGTCAAATATATATATATATGAAAAAAAAACAATAAGAACAGCAAGAAATAATTCCACTTTAGGAAGACATTGACCAAAATGGCCAGAAAGTGTCTTTTGTGCAACATGTTCGAAACTTTTTCTATGCAAGATCTCGTCAGAAGCTAGATTATTTTACTCATCAAAGCAATGTTTAAAGTTGCCTCCATTCAATTACTGTATTATGATTGAATACTACTGTGGCAGCAAAAAAGATGATATTGAGGTGACAAACTATACATGTACTGTTTTTAAATTTCACTATCTCAATTTTCGAGCTTATTTACAAGAATTAGATACAAGGCAGAATACCACATATTAAATATGTCATGTATATTATTGATGACATGACATGCTGCTCTGAAGCTAGCCTGACAAGT